TCCCGTTTACTTAGTACGTTTTTGAGATATAGCAACACCGGTGATGATCACCAGTGGTGATAAATAGCAAAATTCTATTTTTTTTAATATAATATATTATAGAGCTAATATAAGGGCCTGATAGAGCCTAATCTCAGTTTTTGTAAAGTTTTTGGGGTTCTGGACATTTTTACTTAGAGAACCTAATCCTGTTTACTTAGTATATTTTTGAGAAACAGTACCTATAGTATAAAAATACCATAGATGCATTTTAGTAAAAGTGAAATAAAATTTCTATTAGTTCTATTGATTTTATTAAAAATTCTATCAAGTTAGTATTAAAAAATTCTATTGGCGTTAATAAAGCAATAGAACCAATAGAATAAGATTTAATAAATAATTTGAATTATGAAGTGCCAAATATTTTGCCTAACTCATTTTGAATAATCTGAAATTTATAAAAGCTACATATACAAAATATACCTTGTACAGTATACTTTGGAAGAATTTATTGTATTTACTCAAAATAATGCTCTAGAGTATTATTTTGAATAAATATGATATATACAATCATCCTCCTATATAATTACTCTATTTGGCTACTACTTTTTGATGATTATATGAAAGGTGATTAAGTAGAATTCCTTCTATATAATCACATAATATAAATAATAAAAAATAATATATATAATATAATTTTAAAAAGGTAAAAAATTTTATTTATAAATTTTAAAAAATCTATTAAATTGAATAAAATCTGTTATTTTTACTCAGATTTGATGACAGATATATCAATGCCTATTGCTCTAAATCGGCTCAAATTTTTATCATAAATAGAAACAGTATTCTTCTATTATATTTAAAAATTTCAGCTGATTTTGTTTGGTATTCCTTGAGTAATTGCTTGTATATTATAGTCAAATTTTTAAAACAATTAACTATCGTATACAAGTGTTTACCGAGAACTACCAGGCCAAATTGGCTGAAACTTTTATATTTAATATAAGAATATCTACACCATTTATGATAAAAATTTGAGCTAATTTAAATTAATAGTTATTGAGATATTAATTGTCAAAGGGTGAGTAAAAAAATCAATTTTTTAATAATTAATTTTCACTATTTTTACTCAAAGTTTGGCAATGAATATCTAATAAATATTGATCTAAATCAGTTCAAATTTTTACTATAGACAGTGTCAATATTCATTTATTAAATTTAAAAGTTCCAGGTGCTTCATTTTGGTATTTTATGAGTAATCTCTTGTATACAATAATCAAGTTCTTTAAAAATATTGACTATCATTACAAGTGATTACTCGAGAATTAGCAAGCAAACTTGGCTGAAACTTTTATATTTAATACACTAATATTGACACTATCTATAGTAAAAATTTGAGCCAATTTAGATTAATAGTTATTGAGATATTAGTCGTCAAATTTTGAGTAAAAATAGCAAAAATCAATTATTAAAAAAATTGATATTTTTACTTAACCTTTGACAATTAATATCTTGCTAACTATTGATTTAAATCTAATAAATATAAAAATTTCAGCCAATTTAGCCTAGTAATTCGTGAGTAAATGCTTGTATATAATAGTCAATAGTTTTAATAAATTTGACTATCGTATACAAGCAATTACTCAAAAAATACTAAACAAAATTGGCTGAAATTTTTATATCTAACAGAAGAATAACAATTTTATTTATAGTAAAAATTTGAACTGATTTCAATTGATAGTTATCGAGATATTAGTCATCAAAGGATAAGTAAAAATAGCAAATTTTATTCTGTTTAATAGACGTTTTAGTTTTTTTTAAATTTTAATTAAAGATATTTTTACAAATCTATAGAATTTAAATAGAAAATTTTTATTAAGTTGTGATTTTAAAAAAGTATTTTTATTAATAAATTAGCAAAAAAACTTTTTTAAAAAAGGTAATAGTGATAGTATTATAATTGTGATTATATAAAGATATTTTTAATATTAAAAAAAACAACTATACAAAATTGTGTGATTATATAGAGTCTGTGATTATATAGGAGGTGATTGTATAGAAGAATGACTGTAATTTCAAAAAACCAATATTTTTGATTGATGAGTTGGTGTTCTATTAGTAAAAATAGCCAATAGAACAATGGAACAATAGAATAGAATATAAATTTATTGAGGCAATAGAAAAATTGTGACAATACTGGATGTAATATACAAATGTATGCTAATATATAAAGTAGGGGTATTATGATGCAGGACCAATTATGACGCACCCAGCATATCTCGTGATCTACTGATCAGAATCGAACAATTTTGGTACCATTCGATTCGTCTCGGTGAGACGAATCGAATGGTACCAAATTTACTCAATTCTGACTATTAGATCACAAGATATCACTATCTGAATATCATATAGCAAAAGTTTTTTTTTAGAGTTCTAGCGAAACATAATAATGGTACATATAAAAATATAAAACTGATGTGAAAATACATTCGTTAAAGTTTAATAAAAGTTTAATCAAAGCCCACATTGTACTTTTGTACATATTTTTCCATTTCATTATAAAACTTTAAGTAACTTATTTATTTATTTATTTATTGTAAATGTTATGATACAGCAAAAATACAATTAACTTTCGGGCGGACTATTTAAATTAGGCACTCAAAAGGTGCACGTGTGGCTTGATGTACCATCGTTGTAATTGCATATAAAACACTATTTCAAATTCTAATAAAAGCTTTCAGGCCAAAGAGGTCTTTTTAACCAAAAAAAAAAAAAGCAAAAATACAATTAAAGTGTATTCAACCTTACTATAAATATTTTTTACTAGATTATAAACATTTTAATTCAGAATCCTAAGTTATATTCTGTAACAAGGTATGTTTATCAAGAGCCGTAAATATTTAAAGTCCAACAAAATTAAATAATAAAATCGTTCCAATCTCCAAATCTTAATAACTCCAACAAATTGTAATACTGAAAGTTTTGCTATTGAGTATAACTAGATTGAATGAATATGTAACATACCTTAAATAATAAAATGGAAACCATTTAAGAGCCCAAGCATCTTTAAATATCATCAGCACCAACTTAAAAAAAAAAAAAAAAACTTTAAATCACACTTCTATTCAGACTTTCAGTCTTGTATATGCTTCCACCACCCAGGTATCTTTTAGTTTAATTCTTAATAATTTTCCAAGTCAGCAATTGATTTATTATATCTTTTAATAGTATAATTAATTTCACCTCGATATATTAGCATTATTGCATTATAAGTTAGATTCAAATGCTAGAAGTCTAGTTAAATCTGGTACTCAATAGATTCACGCGCAGATTCATGTGCTCGTTATTATTATGAAATTCATGTATTTAGCATACACGTTTATAAGTAAATAATAAAATAATATAAATAGATATACTTTACTTGCCTTAAGTCCAATTTGCCTTTAACCTTTTTAACCTGTACTTAAATAAATCAAATTAATCTAATAAATCAAATCAATCTTAATAATATCAATAAATCAAACCAATCTCAATAAATCAAATCAATAAATCAGTATGCCTTCATATGATGATTGTCATACTCGCATTGAAAGTGTTCTTAAGGATTTTGAGAATTCTCCAACCACTTCTAATTGAAAAATTGCAGATAGATTCAGCATTTCTGAAGTAACTCTAAGGCGTGCTATAAAAAATAATGGCTGTTTAAATCGTCCAGGTCCCACCAAAGTCTTAACCGACTATGAAGAGCAACAACTAGTTGGTTATTGTCTAAATATGCAAAGACTTGAGTTTGAGTTAACAAGATCAGGTGTTAACCATTGTGTCATAGAAATAGTCAAAAAAAATAAAAGGCAACATCCTTTTAATAAAGTGGGCTGGGAAAGTCTTGGTGGGCACGTTTTATGAGGGATCATCCCGAGCTTTCATTTCGGGTTCCTCAGGCCTTGAATGAGGCACAAGCACAAAGGGCCAATCCTATTGTAGTGCAAGATCATTTTAACAAGCTTAAAGAAATTATTAAAGAATATTCACTTACTGCTGATAGAATCTGGAACATGAATGAAACAGGCTTCGTTCTCAATCCTGAACTTTGTAAAGTTATCGTGAAAAAGGGTGCATAACAGGTAAGAATAGTAAATTTTGTTCTGTATTAGTGCTCCTAACAGGTTTGATCTAAATAACCCAAAACTGAACTGTCTATAGTAAATTTATTATATAAATCATAATCCATATAATAAATTTACTATAGACAGTTTAGTTTTGGGTCATTCAGATCAAACCTATTAGGAGCAATAGTCTGTTATCGAAATAACTATAATAATAAAGTATTAATTTTTTTTAATATTACTAAATTATAATTTAAAATTTGTTATAAACCACGTTTTTTACCTTTCTAATAACAGGTTCATCAAGTTTCCCATGGAAATTCTAATGAGCATATTTCTGTGTGTCCAACTATCTCTGCTGCTGAAACGTACGTCCCACCACTCATTATTTATAAAAGAAAGCGTGTAATTCCAGGTCTCTTAGAAAGTGCTCTTCCTGGTACTGCTATGGGATTTACAGATACAGGATATATGCGAGAGACCCTTTTTCAAAAGTATATTGAGTATTTTATTCGCTCAATCCCACCTGCTTGCCCTGTTCTTTTAATTTTTGATAGACATAAAAGTCATATTAGCTATATCAACGTTAATATTTGTCATAATAATAATATTCTTTTATATACGCTTTCACCCCATACTACTCATATACTTCAACCAGCTAAACTTCCCTTTGCACAGCTTAAACAAACCTACTTTAAAAGCTGTGAACAACTTCGTGTTAGTAATAATGGAAAGTTCATAACTAAGCACACATTTGCTAAGGTCTTTGGTCCAGCATACCTTAAAACTTATACACCTTTGGCAATTTGTAATGCTTTTAAAGCAACTAGAATATGGCCTTTTAATCTCAATGTGATTAGCCCTGACTGTCTTGATCCTTCTCTAGTTACTGAACAGTTTGATATTCTTCTATCACAATCAATTAACTCACCTTTCGCACCTACAGCATCTTCTTCACAATCTTTACACTCTTCTCTATACTCTCCAGACCTTTCCCTTTTACACTCTTCTCTACAACCTTCTTCACTATCTTTTCTACAATCTTCCTCACAATCTTCACATCTCTCTTTACACTCTTCTTCTCCAATATCAAATCCAAACTCTGTACGCCGCCATACCATATTAAAAGCTGAAATCAAAGATCTCAATGCAAGGGTCAAAGAATTAGAAGCTGAGTTGAAAGTAGCAAATGAGGAATTGGAAACTTTCAAAAATTCTGGTACAATATCTTTACGAACAATCCTCAAGTATTCCCTGCCTCATTCAAATCTGACTGAAAAAGATATCAGCTCCGAGAACCAGCTTGAGCCCCAGCTACCCAAAAAAAAAAGGCGAAAGACTATGCCTTTTTCTTAGCTCCTTACCAATGAAGTATTGCTTATATCATTAAGAGAAGCGGAGGAAGAAGCTGAAAAAAAAGCTAATGAAATAAAACGCAAAAAAGAATCTATAGCCCAGAAATGATTGGAATGGGAAGCTAAAAAAGTGCAGGTAGAAGAAAGAAAAAAAGAAAAGCAACAATTAAATGAAAAAAAAGTAAAATAATGATTAAAAGATAAAAAAAAAAATAAAATTTTACTGTATTTAGCTGATAGATCTGTGTGTCATATTTGGTTCATTGCCTGTAGATCACTAGTTTTTTTAAATTTTCGTTTATTATAAAACTTTTTTTTTTATATAAAATTTTTTTTTAAAAATTGGAAATATTATTTTTTGAAACCTGCAAAGTAAATATATATTAAAATTTTACGAATTAGAAATTAATATTTGTAAATAATATTATAGTGAATGTTAACTGCATCATAACCTTATATATATTTGCCAATTTTCAACCAGTATATGAATGTAATAACCAAACTCTTTTTGATGATCACTTGAACCATATTTTCTGAAAAACATTTTACTGCAAAAAGAAACCTTACAAGCCGGCACTTAACATACTAGACAATAAGTTAGCACCTGTCATTTAGAAGTAGTTCTCATATGCTACTTGCTAACAAGCTTAGAGTTTATCACTCATTGCATAGTCTTGGCACTTGTCATTTAGAGGTAGTTCTCATACACTATCTGCTGACAAGCTCAGAGTTTATCACTCACCAAAAAAATGTTAAGCAGGTGTTGGGCAGTGGGTTTTGACTGTAGAAAAAAAAACCCACACTCTTTTAAATTGGTTTGAAGCTCAAGTGGTCTCTTTTTACCTCTTGCCATTTTTCCATCGGTCTTCAAAATTTTTTCATAAAAAGTGGAGATTTGGCTTACTCCCTCCAAAAGATTGGCATTGTTTACTTACCAAATCCGAATAGACCGGTAGATAGCAACCATGTGTTTGGAGACAAATACATTGCATGGGCCCTGGAATGAGTCCCGGTCAAAAAAGGAATCTCTAGTAGCAGCACCAAGTGGCTTGAGACATGAGTATCCAAGTGATAGCACCTTTATGGAAATATTGTGATCTTTGTTATCATTGGTACTATATATAGAGAGTCAGATCCTAGTATAGTGGCAGCACTTGGTTTAAAATATGGACTAGGTTATTAAAAAGATTCAAAAATGAGTCAGAGGGAATTTTAATATTAAGTTTAGTTTTACAACAGAGATATACAAATGTTGCATCTGGTATATAATTTTTAAATTACCTAGCATTGGTTATAATATTGTATTCAGATCGCTTAATTTTTCTTTTTTTTGCTTGTTTCATCTATTTTCATTTATATTAGAATCAGTTTAGATTCTTCTTTCCTTTTTTTCTTGTTGTTTCATTTTCTCTTTTGAGTTCTGTTTTCTTTTTTAAAACAATTTTTATTTTTTTTCAGTTATGAGAGAGCTTTTAGAAATTTTCTTTAAATGTATCTTCCTTTATAATATTGGCATATATGTTAGTCTTATGTAGAAGTAGGAGGTAATATAAGTGGATTGAGTTCAGGAAGATATTACCAAAATTTAAGGTGGAATAAGTTTGAAAGAAGGAATTAGCTCTTAAAAGAAGTCTTTTTTTTGTAAATTGGCATATATGTTTGCACTATGCAGAAGTAGAAGAAAATATATTCTGCTCGAACATTAGTAGAATAAGTCTAGAAGGAAAATAAAATATAATCAGTTCGAATGTAGGTAGCTGAGTACCAAGCTATAGCAGGTTTTTAAATATGGATAGCACTATATGTAAAGCTTGTTGGCAACATCAGTACGATAACCATACTTGGGCACTTTATAGTAGCAGGGTATATGCCTAATATATAAATTAGATAGTTAATTTTATAAATTACAAAAATCTAATAAATTAGTGCGAGGTTATTAAAGTGAAAAAAAAAAAAGTATATGAATGTAATATACAAATATATGCCAAAAAATAAATATTTGTCAATTTTTAACTATTTTGAAAACAGCAATATAGAGTTTCAAAATTATATTAAACTACTAGAAGTTGATTAATTTTTAATAGAAGAGTGATTCTATTTTTAACTAATCTTGGCTTAAACTTTTTAGTAGCCAGACCAGAACAAAATTAGATACACTACTTAATATCTTTAATATTAAAATTAAAATCAAATTTAATAAAGATAAATTAGTAAAAAAAAATTTTAACTACTGTAACTATTTATTTATTTATTATAATATAGTTAATTTTCTAAATATAATATAGTAAAGTTTTTTAATCAATATATTACTAATAATTTTTTTTAAAATAGTGCTTATTAAAAGGGCATGATTATATAAAAGATAACTGTAGAGAAGGATAACTATATAAAAAAAAAACAGTTATATTTAAAAAACAATTATATTTAGAATATAAAAATATATAAAAAGATTTTATTTATATTATTGCTATTTTAAAATAATCAAAAATATTATAATAATATATATTAACAAAAAAAATTTTATAAATATTTAAATACTTGATTAGTTTAGAATATTACTGTAATTAATTTTTAATCTAGAATTAGATTTAATTTTAATATAATATATTACTAATTAAATTTTTAATAAATTAAATTTAATAAATAATAAACTTAAAAGTTTAAAGTTTTATTTTTCTTTAATAGTAGTTATAATATATCAAGTACTGTAATTATAAAAAAATTAAAATTGCAAAAAACAAATTTAAAGTATTTAAAAGGTATTTGTTTATTATTAAAAATCTAAAAGTAATAGTAGAATATAAATTTAGAATAAATAAATATCTTATTTTTAGTTTTATTTATATTGAATATAAAGTAAAAATGAATAAAAAATATTTATTCATTATTAAAATAAAATTTAATAAAATATTTTAAATTAGCTGTTACTAATAAGATAAAATTGATATTAAAAAATAGAATTAATTTATTTGTAGCCATACTATTAATATAGTTCTTTATTAAAAAATTTTGCAGCTATATTTTTTTAGAGTTAGGATTAGAATTAAGGTTAGAGTTAAGTTAAGGTTAGGATTTGAAGTTAGATTAGGGTAAAATTGCAAGAAAAGCATTTTTACTTAGTTATACAACAGAGGTTACCCTAGTAAAATTTTGAGTTATTGTAGAATTATTGAATATGGCTATATATAGCTATGGTTACAAATAAATTAATTCTAAAAAATAAATAATAAATATTTATTTATCTTATTTTATATATTTTTTTTGTATCAATCTGATCTTAGATATAAGTTATTTATTTTTATAAATTTGTAAAATGTGTATATCTACTGTAATTTAATATAGTGGCTACTCTGTAATATATAATTAGTATTTATTAATTTTATATAAATAAATATTTGACAAATTTAATTATATATAATATACAAATTTGAAAAGATAAAAAATAATCAAAAATTATAAAATTGCTATAAAAGCTAAACCTAATCCTTAATTCCTATTACTTAGAACTAGTTTATAATTTTTAATTATGCTAACTAGTAATATAAATTGAGTTCATATAGTAGATATACATAGATTTAAATTTGCATATATAATAGCGCTCTCTGTATATATAGTATGCATATAAATTTTTTTTTTGTATATCTTTTTTTGCATTTGTGCTAATAAAAATTTTTTAAATTTATAACACTAATGCTAACTATATTCTAAATTTAAAATTTTTTAAAAATTAACTAAGCTTTAACTTAGTACCAGAAGTGGTTACTTTAGTAGTGACTTTAGAGTATATGTCTTCAATAGTAAGTGATATTTAAAAAAACCAAACCTAAAAATATTTATATTATAGTTTACTATGATATTAAAATTACTAATTGCTATCAATCTTATAAAATTTATAACTAATTTTGCGAACATGGATATTTGTGAGATTATGTAATAAAACAAAAGTATATATTGTAATAAAGACATATTCAAAGTATGATATTTGGCATATAATTCTGACAAGCAAAAATAAGATATTAATAATTGTATTAAAGAATTTTAAAAATTGAATCCTTCAAAAATAACTTATATTTCTTGATTAGTGCTTATAGACATCCTGAATTAATGCATATTCTAATGTAGTACATAATTTATTGTGTAATAAATAATATAAGTGCATGAGAGTGAAACCAAGAAATAAAATTTAACTATAAATTTTATTTTCTAATTTTCCCTCTTATGCATTTATATACAATTAATACTCCATTAGAGATACAGTTTCTTCAAAAATCCCACATAATATACATTTCATGAATAGTATTATATTGAACTTACTTATGATTTTACTAATGAAATTGCAGCTACCTATTAAGTAAAAATTGTTTCTAAACAAATTTTACTATAATGTAAGCTTATTTTAAAAAAATTTCTATTTTTGTAATGAAAAAATTAAAAAGTTAATTCTGGCTAGAAATTAATAACCAATTATGTAATATGAGACAAATTTTGAAGATTCTCAGCTATTAGCCAATTAAAATTGAGGGTTTGCCACATATTTTTTGTGTAGCACCTAGGTTCAATATAGAATCATAAATCTATGAATTTCTTAATTTTTTGCATTTAATAAAAAACTAAGTAAAAATTATAATTAAAAATCAAATTTCTTGTTCTACTGAAAATTTGAATATATTAATGCAGGCTAGATATTATATTAATGCTAGCCAGATAATATAGTAAAGTTGGCCAGATAATTTTATTTGAAATAAAATTAAAAATTTTATACATCA